CCTTCACCTCACCCTCTGCGCTGTATTTCGGCATGGCTTTTCTAATTGGCTACCACAAGGGAAGATGAGCGGACGCACATGGTTTCACGCATTCTTCGTCACTTATAGAGTCAGCCACCCTCGCCTCTTTACAGGATGGGCATACGAGCACGCATAGTCACAAGTGTCAATTTTCTGGTGCATGCTGACCGTGGCCACCCTTTCTCCCATAAAGTGAACCTGTCATTCTCTCCTGCCAGGTTTTCCGTATGTGAGGTCATTTGGCATGTTGTAGGTCATGTGAGCGACGTAATTCCCAGTAAACTGACTCACACACACCACTCATTTTGTCAGTAGTTCAACTTGATTTTCTATTCCACTTTCTTTCTATTAAGGTACTGTCAAAACTATCATTTTGCACCCATATCTGACAAATTTTGTCATGAGGTCACCATTGTTGTCCACCGACTGGTGGACTCAATTTTCCACTGAGTTGTGTATGTGCATGTGTGCTCGCTCATATGCACTTTGCCACGTGGTACCTAACCTTGATGATAGAACTGAAGCGACAATTCCCCCCCTCCCCACAGTTAAGTGTGGTAAATCGGGACCGGGGTGATAGTACCACCGGCGGGTAACTCACAGTGGCACCGTGATCAGTTGGGATCACGGAATGATTCCCGTCAGGATGCACCAGTCGTTTCAAGGACAATCACCAATCGCCAGCCCCCCGTTCTACAGCCAACCCTAGGGAGGAAGTCTACATGTCAATAGCATTTGTTGGTAATGGGTGGTTATCTCATTGTACAAGTGCATGATTTTTGAGATTTGCGCACGTAGCAGAAAACGTTTCTGGGTGCATGGCTTACGCTTGCCCACTTTATGTGAAATGATGGCCACCAGTTTGCGTTGGTGCATTGTTTTCTAAATACATGCTTCTTCCATCAGAGGGATCCTGATTGAGAACTATGATATAACACGTCACGTAAAGCGCTGAAAATACACTCCTTTAAAAGTGTACCGGAAAGTAATACCCAATTACAGCACTCGGTTTCCCACATCTCTCCGATATCCTTTTTGCATCCACCTGATGATGGTAGTCCAACGGGGCATACTAGTTACCCCCGCCCCACTTTCTACTCACATTCACTGAATCCTTCTCCTTTTTCATTCTGTGAAACATTTTCTTTAGTCGGACAGGCAATTCTGTGCGGCGCCGTCTGCCCACAAAACTCATCTTCTGTCTTATTGGGCTATTAATACACCCATGCCTAGATGTCCATCCACTTCTGATACACTCCGAAATGAAAGAATTAATGTCTTAGTTAGAGATTGGATGTTACTTCACATAGGCTTCAGTAAGGGACGAGCAGCAAACAAATTCGCGCTCTTCGTAGGTGGAGGCAGCTTTCTCCGGTCATCACTGTAGCCCCGCAGATTGGTTATGCATGTCTTTAGCAATTCCTGACCTCCCATTCCTTACCTTTGACCGTATGTTCTGTCACTGTCAATGAAATAGCTGTATATTAGGCTCCCTAATTTTTCGCGGCATCTTCCTCATGCGTTCTCCACAATTATTTCTACGTGATGGAGATCTGGCAGCACCCAGAAAGTACTGCCAATAGATTAACCGTCGGACTTTTGGCGACACCTGCCGGTACCTACTTTTATCCCGGTTTGAACACCAACCCGGTTGTTTCTATCTGAGAAGTCCAAACCAGCTCACAGTGTACACTACTGGAAGCAACCAACGACTATCATGTAATCACTACCACCAGACTTCGATGTTCCATTTTATTGAGCTTACTCACTCCATAAAGTGATTTTCGTTCATTTGATTCGTTGCAGTGATCCTCGCGCTAGTAAGGAGTCCCCACTTCCAACGAAGCTGACACTGCATTCAGTTTACCAAAGGTGCCATTCTCACCGTCAACTGTCCATCAGACCACATTCCTTCTAGCCTTCTCCCAAACCTTATCTTAAACAATGCATAATCCGTCTTACCGAGGTATTTTGTGAAATAAATTACAACTTCCGCTCACAGCTGCTGTTTAGCAATATCAGAGCAAGCAAGTTCTGATATTTCAACACTTCAAGGCGACCATTCTCATTAATAGTCCGTTACCTTTTACTCACTCCACATGGCGTTGCACTATCGTTTCAGCACAAACGGTTTCTGTTTACGTGTAAGCTGATCCTAGTTATCTGGTTTCTTATATGATGAGAGTGCCTCTTTTGGGGAAATTAGTCGCTCACCCTCCCACCGTGGTGAATCAACACGTACCTGTCTGATGTTGTTGAATACCCACTTTTTCACTGATAAGACGTATTTCCCCTTGCTTCACACCCAAACACTAGACCATTAAGCCCTGGTACTTGCGAGCACTTCTAGTTCTCCCATTAGGCCGCTGGCCGACTATCCGACCCGTTTATTCGACACGCCCACTTGAGTTCTGCCTGCAGTCTCCGTTACTCCGCCGCTCTTATCTCCCAGCACCCCCTTTCACCATCTGCTTAATTCATTCACCGCATTTCACTTCGCGGTTGTAACCCTCTGACCACGACGCGATATTACTTAACCGCTCTCAGTGAGAATTTGAACAACCGTCTCTACCATGCACATCTATGTACATGTCTAATGGCAATTCATTTGTGCTTTCAAGGCTGGCATAACAGATCTCTGCATTGACATGATGGAACGGTCTATCAATTAATATTCCTCTTATCTGGTTGTTCCTAGTCCCTGGTGTAAGATTTTCGCACACCGTGTATGAAGCCACGCATCGGCCAATCAGTTATATGGAGTTTGTTCTGCTGTGGTACTTATCACGTTTGCTTCTCAGCACACACCAGAAATGGAGTCACAGCTCCGGAAAGAATGCATACGGATCTAAAATTGTATCTTGGCGTTAAATGTGACCAAATGTAACGAACGTGTGGTTAATATGCATAAATATTTTGCCACAAATGTTAAGTCAGTTGAACGATTCAGTCTATTTCCCATGCTTGGTACAGTTTTAGTGACGACTGCAAAATCCTAATCCGCCTCAATCAGATTACGATGCCAGACCGTAGCTAGCTTTCCGCACGACAGTGCTAGAGGGCACTTCTAACTAGATTTTTTATGCGGCACAACTTACTTTAAGCAGCTCTTCTTTCTCTTTCTTAAGTTTGGGCCATTGTGAACGCTCATTATCTGGGCTTCTTGGAAGCTTCAGATGACCGCCAGCCGCACCACACACTGGCTGCAAGAGTAGATCGCAGGATGGACTCATGTGCAACACTTGCGAAATTGACATCTCATACCGGTTAGCCATCGCTCATTAAGTGAAGCTGCGAGTAACGATGCTTTTTCTGCGGTCCGTATCAGTTGGGACGAATCAATTCTCTCGGGCATCTGCGCAAACATAAACTAGCCACTATTACTTCACTGTCAGTAGTGAACAGCGAAGAACAGTATGGTGATTGGAATTCGTGGACCCGAGGAAGTATAACAAAGCCACCAGTGAGCCAACTGCTCCGCGGCTGGCACTGGTCGCCGATGGAACGTTACGTTCGCTCTCGGTTCCCCATGGTTAGAGTGACCAGATCGTCTGTCTGACTAGGTTCTTATTTGATCGCGAACGATCGGTCTTTAATCCTAAGCCGGATATACGAACTACCCAACATTAGGGTTTGACGAATCCATCGCAGTCATTTCACTCGAACTAAGAGTCGCCTTAGTGACGGAATCTCACCGGCCAGATCGATACGTGTGCTAGCACCCACCAGTATGCGCGCATTTTCACCCTGTGTTTGCTAGCTAGGATAGGGTTGTATTTACATACCTGCATGCATTCGAAGCGCCGTGCATTGTGTACACTCAAGATTTAGTAGGTCGATGTTGGCTTCCTCAGTCGGTGGTGACTGCACGTAGTCGGATTCCTGTCACTTCGTTCTTTGATCTTGTGAAATCTATCTTCCAAATTGTTGTGCGCTACGGACAGAGCCATTTTGTGCTTTTTGAATAGCTCCTACTGTTCCTCAGCCTTGTGCACCGCTCATTTTACAATTTTAGCATGGAACAAACTAGTAAAATTCTCCTGTTAATAAAGTCTCCGGCCCTTATGTAATCTAGAGCGCCATGAATGGTGGTTTAAGATACCTCAACGCGACAATGGTACTCGAAACAATCTGTGACCTTGTGACCGTAGGCTGTCAAGCTATAGCGGTGGTTAGTTAGACAACTAATGTTTTATCGTTATACCTTGTTTGTCACTCGGCTGTCGCACTACTGAAGTGCTCCGTTCTGTAACGAACTGTACTGCTTGCCCCTGTGCTATCATATTTGTTAATTCCACCGAGGGCGATACCGACTTTGGAATGGAAAGATGGAAGGTGACTGTATGAATCTCTAGTGGTTCACCTGAGGTGGCTATGATTCAGTCAGCTTAATCTATCCCCCGGCTGCTCATATCCATTTCACATGCATTGCAAACTGGCTTCAGATTTCATTTTCAGTCTACGCGCATGATGTCTCATCTGAGAAATCAGACTACACTGATGGTCCGCAGTCCACTTGTTCCCGAAATTTTTGACTTGATTTGTGCAGTGAATTTTTCAGTTTTATGTGGAGCGGAAGCTGGTAACGATCTATGGTAAATTAGTGGGCGGCGATTGATTGGCCATCAGCATTAACAACAAGCCTGAGGACACGGTTTATGTGGCGGATGACTGCGCAGTCATTCCCTTACCGTAAACTACGTAGTCAGGCACAATATGCTCACGGAGTATGTACACGTATCGTGATAGTATGCTGCAGATACCATTGCGTTTCTACGAACGTCCCATCATCTTGGAGCTGTTGCTCGCTTGGCAGTTGTAAATTGTTTTGATTATGCACTCCGCATCTGCGGCTAGTCTTCAGTTGGCATTCCTACAATGTCCTGTCTTATCGATTCTTTCTATACCTCTGTGGAATTTGATGAATGGTTATTTTGCGATTTTATTATGGATTTGTGTTTGCCACTTTGTATTCACAGTCCACATCTGCAAGTACTTTTTGGCCAGAAAAAGTGGATGAGTACCGACTACGAATGCATGAGCAGCTGAGCCAACTCTTGGCTCCCAGCATACAACAAGTTGTGGAGTTTGCGAAACGGCTTCCTGATTTCAGCCATTTGGGACAACCCGACCAACTTGTACTAATCAAAGCTGCGTTTTTCGAGCTTTGGTTGTTACAAGCTGCCAGGCTTGTCTCATCTCTTGACCGCACACTGACCATGGCCGATGGGAAGCAGATAAGCAAGGAAGAACTGGATTTTGTTTATTCCGTGAGCCGCTTTCGTTTTACTCTTGTTGGTTGTCCTTTGTTCTTTAAACCAGTGGCTTTGTTCTTCGTGCTCTAACTTATTTCACGCTTCTTCTGTCTGTGTGCATTTGCACAAGAGGGCGGCGAACAAAATTTCACAACCAGCGGATGCCACATGTGAGGTTTTTTTTGTCACGAGAACCTCGCTACCACGTCTATCGGGTTAACGCGTCCACAGAATGTTATACTCTACATTGATGGTCCGCCTCCTTTCGGTTGTGTTGTCAACCGTTAACCTCATAAATTTACTAAGTTCCATCTTGTTAACCGTTTTCACTTCTATCACTTATTGTCATTTCCACAGCACTCAGACGCAGTACTCTCTCTTTCACGATTTGTGTCTCTGAATCTAAGGGCCTCTCACGTAAAATAGCTATGTGATTTTGTCTACTCTTCATTGACAATGTTGGCGAGAATGGCTGGTTTACGTGCGTCAGCGATCCATTGAGTTGTGTTGGGTAGTGTTTTTATGCCTTCAGAGTAGCATAGAATATCGAACACTTGTTGAAGGCTAAACAAACTCATTTCCTTGATACTCCAGGTTGGGAGTCCTAATGAGGGTGGCTCTCCTTATTCCTTAAAACACAATCCCACTACTGCTGCCTTGCGGTCAGGTTTATGAATTATAAGACTTGGTTTGGAACTACTGTTTAAGACTAGGCTACCTGATAACATCCTGTCCTCGCAATACTAAAAGTCCATCGAACGGTTTCTGGTCGTTACAGTGAATAACCAGCGCCCCCCTATCTACTGTATAGAGCAGGGGGGATGAATTGTTGAGGCTCTCATTGTCCAGGGCTTCACTTCTAATCCATTTCTGGCGTTTTTTTATTTCTATCATCCCATTCTAACCGCACTTTTATTCCCCTCTTTTCAACCCCCAATTATCTGCCGTTTGTCACCCGGTTTCTGTAGGTGCCTTCTGGTTTCAATTCTTACGCAATCGCAGGGTGTCCCTCTGACACTGTCGACAAGTTTACATATGCCCAAGCGGAAATCCTTAGTTTATCTGCTTCTATTTGGAGCCGTTGATCTTCTCTAGGGCTAGAATACCTCAGCGTGTGCGGATTGGCCATCAAGTAGCACTTGACCTGTCGATTGATATTCGCTACCTATCGGAAGTGCGTGTAAAACTCGAGCTCTATACTAATTCTACGATCCCCTTCATTTGATGCTGGCGGCGGTTTCCCATTGTATCTATCTACAGATAGCCTAACTCCAAATGTTTGTCAAACCTGCGTGGGTATTCTCTTGAGCCCCGGGCTTACACTGCTCTGGTAGACTGGATCCATGTCAGTAGCTGTATGTGCGCCGTCATATTTGGCTAGCTCCTTGAGGACTTCGAAGTGACGCGGGGCCACTGGGTACCCGTTTGTCATTGCTGTTTACGCCCCCACAAACTAGTACTGACTCGGTGAAAGATGATTTCTATCGCCAACTGAACGAGCTGCTTCGTCACAGTAGACGTACGAATACTGTGGTGCTGGCCGGTGATTTGAACGTTCAGATTGGAATATTGTCCACTGATGACCTCTATCTGGGCGACCCACACGGTGTAGGCTCCAGTAATGATAACGAGGGGCAGTTGCTACACTCGTATGGGAATGCCCATCTATTACTCGCAAGCATCAACGTCCTACGCAGCACTGCCTGCAGGGTTGCATAGCACTAACCATCCCCAGGCGGTGATCAAATCTATTGACCCACTGCCCTGTAACTCAAAGGTCACCGGTTCGATTCTACACTGGGACGGACGATCTCAGCATCCCTAACTCGCGCGCGACTGGTGGTGTCTGCGTTCCATCGAAGCATCGCGGCGACGTCCTGCTGATACCTTTTTTCTTCTGTCGGTCCAGCCATGAACGCAATTTGTTCACATCGCAAGCAGTTACCGTTGGAGATGCCATGCTGAAAACTGTCGCTTGATCTGGGACACAAACGTAACCTTTGTCTATGCACTTTCACGTGCCCATCTCCAGGTGCATGTCGTCAGACGCCCGCGATGACGCTGTGAGCACATAGACATCCGCCAACTGTGGAAACCGGATGGTTTGGATATGTATCTAAGCAAGCTGGTATCCCTAATGCCTACAGGCTCACTGAACACAATTGAAGATTGCTGGTCGCATGTTCATGAGGAGTTACTACCGGCACGAGGGTCTTGTGACAAATTCAGATACCAGCCTGGGAAATGGGTTCCTACACAGTCTCTAGAATTTACTAATGCTCACCGATTCCAGTTGGAATCAAATGCAAGGAAAATATAAATAACTGAATAGACAACTAGGTACATGGCGTATTTCTCCACGCTGTCAGGTAAAATCCAACTAGGTGGTCTGATCAGTCTGTACAGCGGAATCACTGGTTATCAAATGAGTTGTCATATTTGTCGATCAGTTATATCTCTTAAAGGACAAATAAGTGGACAGTAAGAATACGTACAGATATAACCAAACGTGCAGGTGAATTAATGCAGCCTTACATAGTCCCTCGTAAGGTTTTATCGTACTTCCACACACGACCCTGCCGTGTACCCATATGTCTTAACGGCAAGTATGCCATAACTGCATTAACTTATCTTTAGAGCTGTTGCGTATGGAATGAGCCCTGAAAACGTCCAGTCCGTTCCACCATCAAACTCCTTCCATTGCCTCACTTGTATTACTTGTCATTGAGTGTAAGATGTTTCACTTTGCATGGATATACAGATTAGTTTGGATTCGCAAGTCCTCAGGGCTAACTTGCATGCTTGCCTGAAGAGACTATGAAGCCTAGTGGTCTCATGGTGCATCGTAGATGGAAACGACCGCTGCGTTAGTAGCAATTGAAAACTATTCCGTCTCATGAGGGTAGCGGCCAACAGGAGACATACCGTTGTTGAAACTGAATGCGACAAGAGAGCATTGTATGTTGGGTTTAACCAGTGAGAAGCAATTTAGTCGACCGGAATTACCAGCTTTTTGCCAGTCACTGCGCGCCCTGCTCCATGATCTGCTCTTGCGCGCAGAAGACGAATTTGCGAATGGGAAGCCGAAACTGAACGAGTATACAAGACCAAATTGATTTACTCCGGCCCTATCAATTTCTTATGAACGGCTTCTATTGATGGAACCGTGGGCACGGGAAACTATCACAATTGACTGGAGCTACTCCGTCATAATCCCCATTTTCAGGGGGGCTTGTAGCGGCCCGAGGATTCCCCGACTGAACACCTACAAGTTGGAGGACCCGACGCAGTATCAACAGAGACTTCGCGAAAATCTCGCTCCCACCCTACTCTGGATGTCGATCAACACTGTTCAAATTTGCACTAAACCATGCTATCCGCCGACTTGTCCAGCTGCGGTCTCACTTGCTGCACAGTCCAAATCTGTATCCCGATATGCTCGGAGCTACTAGATCGTCATTGGGATGTGCCGCCGGTGTGGAGCGCAATGAACTCCATCGGTTTATCCCACAACAGCAACAACCAAGCGTTCGCTCTCACTGTGAATCCTGGTGGTCAAAACGACCTGCTGACATGGGAGCCGCTGCATTGACTGGAAACTTCCGCGGTTTGTTTTGCTATATCAAGGCCACTGGTTGCAATTGATACACTGTCAGTCAGACAAATAGGGTGTCAGACTGCACGAAAACCACCAGCCTACACAGGTGTTTGGGTTGCTGGCCAAAGCACTTTGCTCTCTAATTTAACTACCCAGCATAACACCCTGTGGCACCTACGTTTCCCCCTACCGAAGCAGTGATTCGGAGCGCATTCCAATCGTTGAAGCGTCACAAAGCTCCTAGCCCTGACAGCTTACCTCCGACCTTATTCGAAGATGGCTATCATGCACCTTTTAGCGAGATCCTGTCGCTGTTCGACAAAGTTTGGATTGGTGAGAAAGTTCCAATTGCGTTGGGAGAATTGATCATTATCCCGATTCACATGAAAGGCTCCCGCGACGATTGCGCCACTTACTGTGGAACTTCGTTGATCACTTTTGCATCCAAAATTTTCGTTTCTGTCCGACTCAGCAGGGTTTCAAAGGAACAAAACACTTTTCATCCAAGCCAAAGTTGCATTGGCCAAATTCTCACACTTCACCAACTTCTTGAACTCCATCACGTGCACCCGCGGCCCATAATCCTTGTATTCTTGGACATCCAAACGGTGTTTGATTCAATATATAGATTTGCATTTTGAAGCTGTCTACTAGAGAATGATGTGCCCGACAAGTTTGTAACCATCTTGAAGGAACGTCGAGCAAGGTCTGGGCTTACCACAAGCTTTCCTCTTCGTTTGCTGTCACCAACGGCGTTCGCCAAGATTGCTCTATTTTACATCTCCTCTACAATTTCGCCACTGAAGGTATCGTCCAACAAGCATTGAACGACGTCAAAAACTGCGATATTGTGCTTCTCCAAAGTGACAGAGTCGCAGACTTGGGCTACGTCGATGAAATCGCTTTGCTTAAGGGACGATCCACAAGCCGTCTAGAACACTTCGAACCGCTAGCGATGGGAGTGTCTAAGTATGGCCTGTATTTCAATCCAGGCAAATGAGTTACCGAAAAGAGATCTCTTTGTAACCGTGTTTTCTTATGTGTAAAATACTACTCCGGATTTAGTAGATTCCTGTTCCTGCCCTCACTATTGCTGGTGACGTCCTGGAACATTCCCCCCTGCGTCATTTAGCTAGGAAGTTTCGTCACGGCTAGCCGCGGTGTTGGAGATGGGATATCACAACGGATCGCATAGGCCTGCCTTGCATTCATCTGACTGAGACACCTATTACTTAATCGCGATGCCAGTCTCAAGCTGGAGGACAGGGTGTACATTTCATCTGTCCTTGCGACCCTGTTGTACGGCTGTGAGACATGGCCTATTCGCCTGGAAGACATGAAGCGATTGTCTGTTTTTGGCAGTCGTCTGCTTACGATTGCTCGTTTGTGGTGGCAACTACAAATAAGCAACGCAGAA